AGTTGTGGCTATTTTCTTATTATTAAACAAATCAAACTTCATTTCTAGGAAAGTAAGGTATGTCGATATAAAATAAATTCATATTCTTCAATTTTCAAAATAAAGATGACCATTAACAAATACAGCTTATCTTTTTCCCAACCAGGCCTAAAGAGGAAGCAGTGGCAAGAATACTTGCTCCTCAGAAGCAAATACACCAAAATTATAATTAACAAAATCTTCAAGCCACCAAAACTTGAGGGAAGGAGGATGAACTCAAGCAAGAGAAATTACCAAATGGCAATCAAACAAGATCATAGGAGGGCTTTCAGGTTAATCAAAAGTAACTACTAGAATATGGTCTATGATCAGCATAAGCAGCCCCATTGCTTATACTGATAAGCACACCTCCAGAACTGCAGAATAAACTTTTAACTAAAAAAAATGACAACAGAGAACATCAAATTGTAAATATTATATTTCTCCCACTCACATACAATGTTGTATGAGACATTTACTACTTTTATATGTATCCATAGGATTAATACTCATATGGAGTATAACGTGGGAAAGTGCAGAACTACAGAAATAAGTCTATCTGAAAACAAAAGCACACACTTCTTAGGATTTAAAAATATTGCACGTAATAGGGTTGCACAGAAATTACTGGCTGTTCTTTACAAACAGAATGAGGTATTAGTCAAATTCTAGATGAAGATGAGTGCAAAGGAGAAACCACACACACAAAAAATACATGAATCCACAGTAAGACATACGGAGCCAACAATTAAGAAAGAAATGTGAAAAATATGTAAAGCAGCTATGATTCCAACATTAGAAAATCATTAGCCAGGGGCCAAACACCTAACAATCTCTTGGCAATATTTCGTAAGTTTTCAACTTTCTTTTAGCCTAAATGACTATGAGCAATACATAGTCATTTAGTCCAATTTGATCACAGAAAGGCATGGCTCTCGCATAAATATTAAGCCACGCCTTTCTGAAGCTCTCAGTGGGAATTTACCAAGGTGCTGCTGTCTACTGCTGAATGACACTTCATATAGTGTTCCACGTACATGTGGCAACCCACAGCAGCAATGCTGCAGGACCATGCAATTTAAGTTAGCCAAGGTTTCACTGCAAAAAATCATTTCAGTTCACACAATTTAAATCTATAATAGACTTACAAGTTTAACCTTTAAATATGTATCAGGCAAACTCATTCTTTTCTTGGTAATAAAACTGGCCACATTAATAAACTCAGGGGCAGGTGGAGAAAAAAGACCAGGCAGAATTAGATTTTTTTCAAGAACCTTTCTTAGTCGGGGAAATTAATAATTAGCTATTTCTCTACTAACTGAATGTTAATTTGTCAAAAACAATTTAAATATATTTAACAGCTATATCAAGTGAAATCATGCACTTGTCAAAATGGTTCACAGAAACTGTTTTGCATCATAGATACTGAAGAACAGTCAACAACCAATCAGGCGCAGTGAGAACAGGGAGAGGAGGTATTACTGTCCCGAACAGTCGGTGTACGTCGTGACCATGTTTCCCCTGCGCTGAGTGACAGTCCTGCAGTGCTTGCTGGATCCATGGAACCTGTTTTCAGTCTGTACTGTGTGCCGACTAGTGGTGTCAAAGCCACTAAAAGAAAACATTTTCTCCATGTCTTCAAACATGTCATCAAAGAGTCCACCTCCAAAAGAAAACTCCTGGAAATGATGCCTTTGTCTGCTAGAACCATCCTGGCGTGTCTGGAAGTGATTCTCAAAATGCTTTTTGGACTGAGTGTTTTGGTTTTGACCAAAAAAACCAAAGTCTTTGAATAGGTCATCAAAATTGAAGTTAAATGACTGCTCGAAAGGACTTCCACTACCTCTGGGTCCTTTACCATCAGTAAAAGCACTGTGTCCCAGGGTGTCATACTCTCTTCGCCTGTTAGCATCTGAGAGTGTTTCATATGCTGAAAAAAAATAAAAAATACTTTAGTAACTGACGGTAATCAAAATTACATTGTCCACACATCTTCAAATAATTCAATGCACTATCTTAGAGGATTTCATGTTGTAAGTAAAACCAACACATAAAAAAAATAAGAAGAAAGTGAAAATGAAAGTTACAAAAGGCAGGGACTTGGCCCTAATGGCTGCACAACACCAGCAGTCAGCACAATGCCCACCCTACTGAATATCTGGTACATACTCGTTAAGTGAGTGCTGCCACTACAAATACGCATGTGCAACAATCACAGAGATAGTCTTCCTACTGTTTGTGTAAAATCATGACTTGTGTTAAGGAATCGGATAGTCAATGATAATGAATTAAGAGGAATTTAGATTTTTCACTCTTCCTAGTTGAAGTAAATGTTTAACTCCAACCCCTAGTCAGTTAACCCTACCCACCATTAATTACTGAAGGCTCAAGAGATGCAATTTGGTTTAGAAATAGTCTGACGTCAAAATCTGTTTCATATTTTTCCTTAAAGCAAATGTAGCTTTATAGCGTAGATCAAGTGATGAAGGAAAAACAGGCATTTCAATCTATTTAAATTTTTCTACACTTAGTATTTTTATATTTAATCTCCTTATTTAACACTGTTTCATAAGTTAGTTTGTGTTTTTGAGTGCCAAGAATTCCTTTTCACATAGAAACAAGCAGTTTTACAATTAAAGAATAAATTTTTCAAAATGTTAAGATCTGTAGGCCATCCACTCAGGAATCAGTCATTTGTTTTAAGAAAATGGCCTCAAGAACCTCACTCAGGAAATGCAGCTCCCCTCTCGTCCCCACCTCCAGTCCTCAAACGCACGCAGGCAGGAGGCGTGCGCCCCCAGCTCCCAAGCACTACACTAGGTACCACCTGCAGGACCTCAGCGACAGCCGCCCGCTCACCTTCCGCAATCTCTCTGAATTTTGCTTCCGCGTCAGGGCTCTTGTTTTTGTCCGGGTGGTACTTCATGGCCAACTTGTGAAAGGCCTTCTTGATTTGGCGCTCCGATGCTGATTTTGGCAAACCTAAGATATCATAGTAACTTTTTGAAGCCAAAATTAACTCCGTTATCATTAAAATGCAGATTGCAAAGATGAAAACTGACTGGGGAGTAGCCATTTCTAATATCCTAAAAAGAGAAAAGAAAAAAATTTTTACCCATAGAGCTACTCGTAAGAAACCCAATGAACTTTTAGAATGCAAGGTACATGCCCCCATGTTACTTAACTTTATACGAGCTTTATTCCCCCTAAATTGGGTGTAACTTTCAAGAGCAAATATAATTCAACAAAACTGAGAAAAATTCTGCCTCTGCCTTTCCTCTTAGACTCTGGCCACATACAAAGAACGGACAAAAATTCTGCTTTTTTACCAGTTACTACTGAAGACTCTTCCTATGCAAGCACTGTAAAAAAGGATGGAAAGTCCAAATACTATTTTAAAGGATCTCAATCTTCAAGAATTCAAACTCTCCCGGAATTAAAACAGTAGTTTCACATCACCGGAAAAAGTACATTACAAGGTGAAGAGTTCAGTGTATCTAAATCAATAGCAATCTTCCCTCCCCAAGAAAGCAGCGCCTGCAGCCTGCATTTGCGTAAACAGGGAATCTCAACACCACACCCAGTAATTTCGACAACGCAGCAGCACAAGAGAACGAAATCATTTTCTAAACTCTAAGGTCCCAACTATTTAACAAAAAGCACAGGGAAACAAGTCGGGCAGAAAACTCACAAGGGATACAATGTAAGATTTCTGCCAAGTCTGCTGGAAACTTCTCAGTCGCCACTAAAACACGTCTCTAACCTTAGTGAAGATTTAACTTAAAATCCTTGCTCCTTCAGGCGTAATCCTGGGTAAGATCTGAAAGAAGAGAGCCTGCTCCGCGCGCTGTGCCCAGGAGTCCTTCACAACCACCTCTGATGACATAACCCGGCTGACGAAAGGCAGCAGGGTTTGGGGAAATGCCAGCCTTCCCCTCCTGCGACCTCTGCTGCGCCTAATTAGCAGGTGGATCACTTCTTTCCAGACTTAGTCACGGTCACGGGTCCCGGGGATCAAGTGCAAACTCCTGGTCTAAAAAACAGCCGCGGAGCGCGTGGATGCCGCCAGCCCTGCCGGTGGTTCCCAGGCAAAGGACCGGTCTCAGCCTGGCGGAGGCACCGTACTGGGGTAATAAAGGTTACTCCCCACTTTCCAGTCCAGTATCCCATACTTGTATAGAAGACCGCCCTGGGCGGTGCAGTGACTTCTCATTCCTAAGAAGGACCCGCCCGCCCGAGAGCAGCCTGAGCCCGGCTCCCCAGACCGAGTGGCCCCTGGGCTGGACAGTGCAGACTCCACCCAAAGGCACCCACAGACGCCTCGCCCGTCCGTCCCGGCGTCGCCGTCGGGGCTAACTGTGGCCCCGGGTCCCTTCCTGGGTACGAGGGGCTGTCCGACGCCCAAGAAGGTCAGCAGCACGACCCCAAACGGGTCACGCAGTACTCAGTGATTCCGCCGTCTCCTGCTCCTAATAACCTTCCTCGAGAACGCCGCACAGCCCTAAGTCCTTGGGCCACCGCGGGGGACTACAAGGCCAGAATGGCCGACCAAGATGCTCTCAACCCCACTCCCCGAGATCCCGGCCTCGTCCCTCACCCGCACCCTCCGGCTGTAGCTGTTAACGACCAGCTACGGACAGCCTCTCTAGCCCTGCCCCTGACCCTGGCCTCCATGGCTTCTAAGAGCCGGCGTGCGCCCCACGGTCGCTGGGACACCGACCTCGCCCGCCTCCAGCCACCGCTGCCGCCGCGTTCCCAGTCAGCCAGCTCCCACTGGCGAGCTGCCCCGCGGGCGCCTCTACCTCCACAGAAGACCTACACGAAACGCTTCCCTATTGGCTGCTGCATCCCCACGTGACGGTGGCGCCCTACGCGCACGTGGAAAACTGTTGTTGCGGGTCAGCCTATACGTCACTTCCTTCCCCAGCTCAACCTTTCCAAGAGCGAGCTGTCGGGATGCCCGCAGAAGCGGAAGTGACTCGGCCAGGGCAGCTACCCACGGGCGCAGGCGCGGTGGCGCCGTGGCCCAGCCCTGCGGCCCCGCCCCAGCAAGAAGGCCCACCTCCGTCCGTAGTTGGCCTGGGTCTCCCGGGCGCGCACCGGAGCGATGCCACGCTATTGCGCAGCTATTTGCTGCAAGAACCGCCGGGGACGTAACATTAAGGACCGGAAGTTGAGTTTTTACCCGTGAGTTGTCAGCCTGGTTTTTGGACGCGCTGTTAAGGCATTTAGGGCTGGGTTGGGGGTTTCTGTGGGCGCAGTACGTCCCTCCGGGAGTGGGGCGTGAAGGCTCGAGCTCCGCCTGCCTGGAAGTGACCCTACTGAGCCTGGTCGCCGGGCCTGCAGGCGAGGATGGGCCTGTTCAGGTGTGATAGTGCCCTTGAAAGCGTAAAGTCTGCGTGGCGCCCTGAGGTTTCCAGAGCGGTTCCCCGCCTCCCCTGACCTCATTGCATTGACATCACCCCTGCCAAATGGGAGGGTGCACTCAAGTTCATGTACACGCACCATGAGTTAGGTAGCAAGGAGGTTATTTAATTCCATCATCCCCCGAGGAGACGGAGGCTTTGCAGAAAGCAGGCAACTGATCCCGAAGGTGTGGCAGACCCACGGGAGAACCTGCCTGCTGCCCAGGGCTCTAGATCCTAGGCTTCGATCGTGCGGTGAACGAGCTGTTACTCCCAATACTAGTGCCACGAACTGTTCTGCAAAACCGCGGAAGTAGTACTCACTTTAATCAAGAGAACTGGAAAGCAGCAGTGTGTCCTAATTGACAGAGTCCAGAATTTTTAGGTGCAAATCCTGGCTCCGCTATTTTGTAGCTGAATGACCTGCAAATTAGTTAAGCTTGCTGTGCTTATGACCTCTCATCTGTAAAGGTATTGGAGGTGTTAATAGTAGTACCTAATGCACAATGAACGAGTAAAGAGATAAATTGGCACTCAGTATGTGCTTAAATCAGAGCATATTTACAATATTCTGTTTCCTTTTTGTTCCTGTATTTAAACATAATTCATTTAATTCTAACCTGTCTCTTAACTTTCTTTGATTTTTCACTACTTGTTTTGTGAAGCCTGTTTTACTTTATATCTGAAACTCCCTGCTCCCTAATGACAAAAGGTAAACCACATGGTTGGAATTAGGGGAATGTATAACCCTGCTTTCTGCATGAGAAACCTTATGTTGTTACTATTTTCAAAAAAATAGGAGATTATTATGTGTGTTCTTGTAAAAGCACTGAAAGAATAAGTTACTGTTAATTGTGTAATACAGTGTAACCCAAACCTACTCAGACTGGTAGGAAAAAGGTTTCTGTAAAATTCTGCCATTAGTCTGGTTTTGTCTCTAAAAACCATTGCAGTCTGTCAGAGCCAACTCTAAATCAAGGTCATTGTTAGTACATGTGTAAAGAGCTTTGTTGCTTTTATGTCTTTTCTATTTCATTTGTTTCATATCATAAAATATTTGAGCCTGTCCTTTGTTTAAGGACATGTTTTGTTCTTGGGTCAGTTTCTCTTTCAGAACTTGAATTTTAGAGTTCATTTGTAGTACTAGTATGAAGTACATTTCAATAGGACTTTGTAGTTTATACAGAGCTCCTTCCTAGATCTAGGCCTACACAACAAAATAAAAATAGAACATAATCCACAGAAAATATTAATAGATTTTATTCTTATTGGAATACATACATATTACTTGGAGAGACTCTGAGTTATGTTTTACCAGCCATTCTGCTCTGACAAGCTTTGGCTGCGCATCTTCCCTCTTAGTTGTCTTCCCCACAGAGGTGATGTGATATAATTGTTAAGAAGATGCTCTTATGAGTAGAGATGGTTGTTTTGCTTTTGCAGCACTTGATGCATAGAGTACCTATGTACACAGGCCTGGAACCTGACCAATTGTGAAAATACAGAAAAGTGTTCCCTTTCTAATTTCAGGTTTCCTCTGCATGATAAAGAAAGGCTTGAAAAATGGTTAAAGAATATGAAACGTGATTCGTGGATGCCCAGTAAATACCAGTTCCTATGTAGTGACCATTTTACTCCTGACTCTCTTGACATCAGATGGGGAATTCGATATTTGAAGCAAACTGCAATTCCAACAATATTTTCATTGCCTGAAGACAATCAGGTATTGGAGACGGGGCACAGGGGAGGGGGCACAGTGCTGAGCAGGGCGCTAGATTGTAGGGTAACAGGTCATCTGGTGGAAGGACTGAGGGAAGGCTAGCTGGGAAAACAGATATTTGAGAAAAAGGAAAACTAATTTATGCTTTTACTAAAAGTGTGCTGATTTTTTAAATCTTTAAGCTATTGTTAAAGCATAGCTTAAGAGGAACAAAAAGTAACATACATAAATCATTAAGTTATAAGGAAAAGATCGAAGATTTTTTTTACTGGTTTGTAGAATGATCTGAAATGTTTCCATTATATATTGATGATGCTTAATGCTTTTCAAAAACACTTTAAATTCTACTTGAGTTATATAGTTAGAACACTTTTGATTCAATAAATGTGCTTGGCCAATATACTTCTTAAAGTATTCAGCGCTGACTGAGAAGAGAATAAGCCTAATAAGGACATCTTTTTTAGAATGTGAAAATATTATTTTCTAGGAAAAAGACCCTTCCAAAAAAAACTGTCTGAAGAAAAAAACAGGTGATGAGAAAGAAGTGTGCCTGAAAGCCAAGGCACAAAAGTCATTTGTGTCAAAAGAGCCAGAGAAAAATACAGTGAACACAGCTGTCCTCCTTGAACAAGCCCAGCCACCCCCTTTCTCTGCCGTGGTCAGGCCACCAGCTCCAAAAACAGGGAGTATACAGAATAGCGTGGTAATTCTTACTCTAGTTAATCAAGATACTGGAAAACCTGAATCGACCTGGGAAACGCCTGTTAACCAAGACATAGGTATGGGTGGGTTTCACACGTCTTTTGAGAATCTAAATTCTACAGCTATTACTTTGACAGCCTCAAATTCGGAAGGTATTCAGCAGTCTTTGGAAACCCAAGAAGTGTTTGAAATAACTACCAGTCACCTTGCCAATCCAACCGTCACAAATAATTCCATAGAAATTAAGACAGCACAGGAGAATCCATTCTTACTCAGCACAATTACTCAAACAGTTGAAGAATTAAACACAAATGAGGACTCTGTTATTGCCATTTTTGTACCCACAGAGAATTACAAACCTACAATTAACTCTTTTATGCCTGCCCAGAAAGAAACCGTGGGCATGGAGGACATAGGCATTGATGATTCCTTATGTAAGGATGACTATGAGACAGAAGTTTTACAGATTGAACATTCTTACTGTAGACAAGATATAAATAAGGAGCATCTTTGGCAGAAAGTCTCGAAACTACATTCAAAGATAACTCTTCTTGAGCTACAAGAGCAACAGACTCTGGGGAGATTGAAATCTTTGGAAGCTCTCATAAGGCAGCTAAAACAGGAGAACTGGCTCTCTGAAGAAAATGTCAAGATTATAGAAAACCACTTCACAACATATGAAGTTACTATGATGTGAAAAGGTCTCAAAGCTATGTCTTTTATATAAGCACTTTGCCGCCAAACCAGATAATATGTAAAGTGAACTTTCCCCTGCATGAAGTTCTCATCTTAAAGCTGGGAGAGTTCTGTCATGTTGTGAACTGCATTCTGTTCTTGAAATACTCATTTTGGGGAAAAGCTACAGCATTGTTGGGCTGTAGATAAAAAGTTTTATTACTTGGCAATTTAAAATATAATGAATAAGTAATAGGATTTTGTCACAAAATGAGAGAACACAGATGTGGTAAAAAGGGCCCAGAATAAAAGGCTCAGGAGTAACCCTGGTTCTACCATTGGCATGTGACTAAAGCAAGTTACTTGTCGAGGTTAAGCCTCAGTCTGTTAATCTATAACATAAGAGCACTTTACTAGATCTTAAATTCAGTTTGTTTACAATTTCTTCCCTTTCTAGTCATATATTTTAATAGGACAACTGTTCTCTAATGTGTAGGTACATAATACTGAGTATTGGCTAGACTTTGATTTTATTAACTACTAGATTATCTGCAATATTTATTGAATTCTGTGTTTGACGTTTTGGCCAAAGTCATTCATAATAGCAAAGGAAAATACTTTTATAATTTTATTCCAGTTGAACTAAAATAAGGAACCACCCATTAGCCTAGTTCTTAGGAGAGGTACTTTACACTTAAAAGAATATGTATTTCAGTACTTTATGTGTGGCTGACCATCATAAAGATACATAGTCATTTAAGCTTCTTAACACTGTATATATAAAATTATAATTTATAAACCAAAAGTTTTAATGAGGTTAATTTTTTAAATATATTACTATATTTTAGAAAACATCCTTTGTATCTAATAGGTGTAGCTTTTTAAAATGTGTGCATGTGTCATTTTCAAATCCAGAATGATAGTAGAGTAATACTTAACACTATACATTCCCAGTTAAGTATATTTTATTAAAATTTATATTCAACAAATTATAGATGTGTAGTGATGACCTTCAACAGACATAGGAAAAAGAAGTGATGGTGATGTAAATAATACTGTGTATATCCATAGGAATTTAAGAAAAAATATACAAGCAGCCTTAGTGGTGACAACAGAAATGTGGAAAATAGATGATCCCTTAAAATCAAAGTTAATGTAATTAAATATGTTACTGTTTGTGGTATTGAGCAAGTTTCTATCAATCTGATTCTTAGTTTTCTTTTATATGAAAAATGCTATTTATCTTGAGGGATGGTTTTGACAAATCTGTAAGGTGACAGTTATGTTTTTAGTCCTGGAAAATCGGAAGAGCTCAGTAAATAGTAGTTGACTGCATAGCAAACAGTACACTAACTGTAACTGCATAGTGATTTTTTTGGGCTACATTTCACCTAGTTTTTTCAGGCCAATAAAGTTAATTGACATTATATGAATATAAGTTCGCTAATTACCAAAACTTGATTAGAGGTGTCCTTATTGGGTGACCATGTGGGGTGGTGGATAAACTTAATATTTTACATAAATTATGATAATTGGTAGGGTTAATATGTTATTTTTAAGTATTTCCATGTTGCATTTTGCTAATACTTTAAAATTAATATAGATGAAAATGGCCTTTATAAGTTATTAAAAGTGTTAACAACTAGTGAAAGTGTTAGTTTTTAATTGTATACCTTGTAATTATTGTCTCTTTGTTTAAAATTATTTAACTCATTTTATTTCTTTAAACTGAATAAATTATAAATATTTCAAAGTTTTTCTTGGTTTGTCTATGTTCAGTTTTGGATGTTCTCAGTTAACCTCTAAGTATTTTTGAGGGTTCTAGCCAGCTTTTTTACTTGGATTATTATAGGAGCGTCTTCACTAACTTTGCCTGTATTTTCAGCGCCTCTTTCATATCACTCTGCATACCGCTGGCGGCTCTTTACCTTAACTGTCAGTCTAACTATGTCACATACACACACCCCCACCGCTTAACTTCCTAGCTCGGACGTGGTGCTCTCTCCCTGGTGCCTACAAACGAGAGCCAAACCGGTTACCCTCCCATCTATGACCCTGGGTGGCTCTCTGCAGCCCGTGTTCTGGCCACCCTGACTCCTTAGTATTTCCCTCACATGCCAGATGGGCGTCTGTCTCATTGACTGCTTCTTTTATTGCCTATATTTAAGCAGTCCGTCAAAACTGAAAATACTGTGACTTTGATAGAATTTCATTCCTTTTATGCCAGTCAAAATTGTTTTCTTCTGCTCCTACTGTAACAGCATTTACCTTATACATTCTTTATATCCTGTCTGTGGCTATCTCTGACTAGGTTGCAAGCTTTTTTAAAGTAAAGTTTTCATTAATGACTTTTGTTTCCTTGGCATTGTAATATTTACTCAATCAATATTTGGATGAATAGTTTGAATTTGCCACCTTAGAATTCTTGGTTCTTGTGACTTAAAATCAAGAACCTCCTTACATAGATTTTCATAGACTCTTTTAAACATTCCATGTTTGCAGCAGACAGAAAAATGTGCCAGTTAATCTGCTGTGCCACCTATTGATTTTTGCTGTGGAAGGCTGCCCCAACCCACCCTGTGTATTTCCTTCTTCCTGCCTTAGATGATTCCAAAAGAAAGGAAGTCCAAGAAGGCTGTATACATTTATGCCCCTGTGTCAGGGAGAAAGTTGTAAGTCAACTTTACACAGATTTGACCACTGTAAATAATACATGGCGTTGATATAAACATTGAGCAGAACTTCCCTAGAATAAAAAGCCATGGATTGAGAGTTGGAATATTCACATGCAGGGGAATTCTTCTAACTAAATTAAACAGCTCTGCCAACTAATTTGGTGTTCAAATATTTTTTAAATTTTTTAGATCATGTTATGTAACGTTGTGGGCAGAGTAAGAGTCCTGATTCACAGCTGTTGGGAGAAAAGCTACAGAGGAAAAAAAGGGGGTGAGATGTACCTGTGTGAGAGAAATTCCTTCAAGGAAGGGTTTTTGTTTCATTTTTCATCTTGACTTCCCATCAAACCCTCTGACCTCTTAGGTACTCTATCTCCAGAGGACCTTTCCTTCATCTCTCCTTTGTCACCTTGTTCCCACGGTTGGTGGTAGGCCTTTGTCACCACCAGTATTTGCAACCCTTTGAATGATGTCAGGGGCAAGCACATCTTGTGATTCCCACCTGTTCTACAGCAGGCATTGAAACAACTCATACTGCAGCCAACCGTTTTTCCACCATCCATCACCTGTGCAAGTGGGTTGTGTTCTCCAAACACGGCCACAAAACCCATCTCCTCCCAAATTCTCTCCTCTAGTGGGACCCTGCCACTCAGTCCCTTATCACATTTGCCTGTGTTTCTGAATCTGGAGGGTTGAGTGCCTGCTTTGACCAGTAAGACATAGTGCAGGTGACACTGTCAGTTCCAGACTCAGCCCTCAACTGGCCAGGCAGCTTCCGCTTCCTCTTTGGAATGACCCCTCTTAGAATGCCAGGTGCCCGTAAGATGGCTGATTACCCTGTGGCCCCGCTGGGGAAGCCAAGATACATGGAGAGGCTCAGAGAACAAGGCCTCAGCCATGTGAGTGAAGAAGCCAGCAAGTAACCCAATGTTCACAGAACCCCAAAGACTCAGGAACTGAAGTCAGAGATACCTGTGGGGTTGAAACAGGGGTCTGAAGACATGCCAAAAAAAAAAAAAAAGCAAATTGATTAAAGTTTATTAAGAAATAATAGGAACTAGAGAGTATTATGCTAAGTGAAATAAGCCAGGTGGTAGAAGACAAATACCATATGATTTCAATCTATAAGTGGAACCTAATCAACAAAACAAGCAAGCAAAATAGAACCAGAGGCATGGAAATAAAGAACAAACTGACAGTGACCAGAGGAGAGAGACAGTGTAGAGCCATAACGGAATAAAGAAGGAGAAGGGTCAAGGAACATGTACAAAGGACCCATGGACAATGACAACGTGGGGGGTGGGGAGTGAATGTAGGAGACAGGTGGGCAGGGCACAGGAGAGCAATGGGGAAAATGGGGACAACTAATTGAACAATGATAAAAATTTTTTTTAAATAGCCCTTAAAATGAAATAAAAATAAAATGGTACCCCCCCTCCAAAAAAAGAAGTAGTAGCCATCCCACACAACTTGGCAGGTATCCCATTCCTTAACCTGGCAAAAGATGGGCACTTTAGTTTCTAGAGAGGACAAAGGGTCTAGAAAAGATGAAGCCCTGGCAGAGACACCACACTAAAGAGAGGTATTAAGTGAACATTTATAAGCTCATTAGTAAGTCCTACCCACTCCTACCCCAGCCTGTGTCACAGACGCACTTACCAGAACATGTAACCAAGCTTCTACCCTTCAATGTGTTCTTGGGAATTTGACAAAGCTCAAGAGAAAAGAACAAGATTGCCCATCGGGAGTCCCCATTGGGTCCAGCTAAGTCACTCTGCCGCAGTGACAGCCCTCACTGTGTCTCAAAATCACTTGGGAAACTTAAAAATTACCCTTACCCGGGTTCCACTCCCAGGTCTGGCGCATCTGTATTTTAAAAAATTTCCCCGATGATTTTCATGCACAGCCAAAGTATTGCTCCACAGTGAAGCCGTGGACAAGGTTTGCCCCCAAGCACAAAGCTTCCCATCACCGTTTACGTGTACTGCCCACTGGCAGTCAGTAGACAGTTGGGAAAGCAGTTAACAGGAAGGATACCAAAGTCAGAGGAAAAACGGCAATTTGGAGAAAACATTATGTCAGCAGAGGAAAACTTAGGGGAAACAACCCAACTATGTAATTAATGTGCTTACCCAGGCAAGATACATTGGTTGCATCCCTGAAAACAAAACCAGAATAACCTTTGTTAAAAAGAAGCCTTATGAAGACAAAAATAGGCCTAGTCATTTCAAGTGTGAAATTAAAAAGTTAATCGGAATCAGAAGATTAAAGTTGAGAAATTCGACCATACTAAGATATGAAAAGATAATGCCTTCATGCAAAAACGTTAAAAATAGCAAATTAAGCATGAAGTTTTGAGATGTATAGGTAAATACAGAGAGAGCGAGCATACACCCCTGGGAGGGGTTGCCTCCAGGGAGCAGGAAATGGGGGAGGCTCCTGGGCTTTGTGAGCAGGAAGCTATGGCTCATTCCTACTCCTCCTTCAGGACTGACCTCCTCATCACTTTATCTTGACAGCACTTACTTACCCTCCAGGTGCCCTTCTGACTTACCCCTACCATACTGATCACCCAGCATCATTATTGCTTCTTGACTATTTTCATGCCCCCAATATGAGTTTTTTTTAATATTTAGTTATTTTTAAAGTACAGTTTTCTGTTTATTTCTCCCATCCCAGCCCACCCCTCCCCCATGCACCCCACCTCCCTCCCATTTCTACCCCCCTTAGTTATTGTCCATGTGTCCTTTATACTTACTTGTTCCTCTAAATCCCTCCCATCTTTTCAGTGAAATAACCCAATATGAGTTTTCAGACCCTCAAAGTGTTAAGCTTTTAAGCTTCACTGCCTAGCGCAGTTCCTTGTGCAGGGTAGGAGCCCCTGAATATTTGTCAGGACAAATATTTGTCAACAATTTGAAACCCGCTGAACCCTATTTCAGGCACTGTTTTGCTGAGTCTAATTCTGGTCTCACACGGGAACAGTCACCAGAGAGATTAACCAATGTGCAGCTCTGTGAGTGCACTAACGCCCCATTAGGCAGGCAGGCCTGTTCAGGTATTAACTTGAAGCACAAGGTAAACAATGGTGGCACACTATAAGCAGCGCCCAGTAAAGGACAAGTGCATTCCTCCTAGACTAGAGTTCTGTTCCTTGGAATCTGGAATGGGAGAAGCTTCCAGAAGGGTCACTGGCTCTCCTAAAACCTAATGCAAAATTTTGTGTGCATAAGCATTTTTCTGGGAAAAGAATGCATAATTTCTAAGACATTCAACTGCTCAGGGCAATAATACCTTATAGTTTACAGTTGCCATTCTCAGAAAATCATAAACCTCTTTACATCTCCTGCAAAAACCCAGGAACATAGAGATGGGAAAGTTATTACTCTAGATTTGAATATACACACACATGCACAAACCCCTACCAATTCAGCTGTGTAGTTTTAGTTACCTGGGAGTAGAACATTAAAACTAATAGGAAAACTGGCCCATATACAAAAAGGGGCTGGGTAAATTCCACACAGAATTCTTACAAGTTTTAGGCCTGTGTTCTTTCACATTTCCCAGAAAATAAATTTGAATGCTCCAAGTACTATATAGAGTGTCAGAAAAAAATAAATCCAGAGAGTAAGTAGTATTTCCGATAACTGGTAAACACGATTTAAGATCAAGTCACTGTTTGTTTGGTCACTGAAATGGAATTCAAAATGCAAAGCAGTGGAGCAGGGGCCAATGTCAGAGCAAGCCTCATCTTGCACTTCTTCCGGGCACGGTTCAGGTTTTCCATGAATAAAAATGCATGGTGTTTGAATATGTACAACGGATTAGAATATCATGTGTGTGGAATGAGGTTAATTTTATTGAGCTTGCCAACTTCCTTAGCCTGGCTGGAATTGCATTCTCCAACATGAGACAAGCAAGTATCTGCACCACGAAAGACACACAAGTCAGCCAGTTCAGTGGTGTGGTACCAAAATACGAGGCATTTCTGAAGGAGTGAGGAGGGAAGGGCAAAGGACGTCATTCA